TTAGATTTAAAGATTATTATCTTATTCCACTTTTTTATGATATATTAATTATGATATATTCTTGTAAGATCTGGCGGTATACGATCAAAAAGAATTGTTACGCGGCCATATTCTTAGAAAACAGGTAGAAAATTCAACATCAAAAATTCTAGTTAAATTTTTTTAAAAAAAAGAATATAGATTTGATTGACAAACGCGTCATTAATTATTTATTATTGGCACTTGGTGTTGTACAGTTTTTTTTGTTGACACGATTGATTTTTTTTTTCTTGGAAAAAAACAATTTATTTTTTGACAGAGTCCAAGACGACAAAACGTGAGTCTCCTAAAGAAGACGTGTTAATGACAGAGGTACTATTTTTTATTTGTATTGATATATATATTTAGTTTATAAATATTTTAAATGGAATCAAAAACGCGGAACAGATCTTGCTGGGTAATTATAAGATCCTTATCGACAACGAACATTTGGCATTTTGCTTTTCGTAATCATTAATATTAATATTATTATAATCACAAGATGTCAAGGCAGCACACCGTTGAAAAAAAGACATTTTGAGTATGTGACGTTTAATTACAAGAAAATAGCAGGCGTTGAAGCACGCACGTTACCTTGAACACATTACAGTCATTCTCTCATCTTCCTCGTGTACACAAGGCTAATCTGACCACGCTGCTCCCGATGATACAATGTTGCAACTGAATTCCAGGGGGGTCCAAGGCCCTGGAGACTGCATCAATCGTCAATGACACTTTCACTAATCTTCCCTCGCAGCACCCAGACCAGAGATGGCCGCTAGCATGTTGGATGAAAAGTTACCTGCAACGATCTTACCTCTGGGTAAGGCTAGCACTGTGACCAAGTTGCAACTCTGCAGATGAATTGTAATATTAGGTGCGCATAAACATCCAGATCATCAAAGCAACGAGAATCTGCAACTTGTTCCAAGCTCAGGAGGTCGCAATTCAGAGCAGGGTTGGTGGCCCTAAAATTGCATTTGGGCCCTGATGTTAAGAGAAAGTTGTAAAATAGTGTTTGTTTTGTATAATATAAATATATTATCCATAGATAGATACAAGTATAATCACTTTTGTTTGCGTTTCTTGATATTCCTACAATCTTTACAAAAGGGATGGCTATACCAATTTGAGATCCCAATCTTGTTTGTATTATCTGACAAGCTTGCCTTTTCTATATATATTTTAATAAATAATTTTTGTGCGACCAAAAATTTATCTGCTTGGTATTTTGTAATTTTGTGAATAAACAGTTATTTTAATTATATAAGTATAATTAATTATATTAAGAATTAAAGAATCATTCGTTAATTAACTAGTTGTAACATGGAACTATTTGTTATGGGGAAATATCTACCCAATAAATGTTGATAAAAACAAATATTGCTTATGATTGCAGATAATAGTTTTTGTGCTAGCATCTTCATGAAGTTCTGGTAATTTGGAATTGAATTACATATTTTTTTTAAGGAGAAAAAGTTTATTATAGTATGTTTGGATGAACTTTTTTATTTTTTGTTGGTTTTTTTTTTCGACAAATTAAAAAAACATCAATCAAAATTTTAAATAACCATTTAACGTGATTTGAAATATTCTAATAGTACATTTCTAGCTTCAGAATCTTCACCATAGTCTTTGACTACGACACATGAACATCCAACGACTTTACGAGGATTACCCTCACGATCAATCTTACAAAGACCCGCCCATTCACCAAGTTTTTTAGCATCACTAACTTTGATCAGTTGAATAGAATGCTCGGAACATAAAGCCTCAACCAATTTGATGTACTCTTTTTCAGTACAAGTTTCCACTAACACACACAAGAAGGCTTGTCGTCTAAAGATTGTATTACAAATAAATATAAATACATGTATATATATATATATATATATATATATATAGAACACACGTGAAACATATCTATCTATTTATTTATTTACCTATCTAAGGCCTTAACGCATTCTCTGAGACCACGGGCTAAACCATCAACCACAAGGGATCTTTTCAAAACATCTTGAAGCGCTTCTTCGATAGTCTAATTAAATTATTATTATTATTATTGTTATTATTATTTTGAAACCAAATCAATCAATAACCACATTTTTTTTTTATCATCATAATTACCAATTGACCTTTGATGGGAGTATCAGAAGTAACATGAACTTCTTCTTCTTCTTCTTCTGCATTTTCATTAGTAGTTTCAGTTACTTCAACATCATCTCGATCTTCATCCGATGGAGGCATATTTTTTTTAATTGATTTTTTGTAAAGATGTCCTCACTTTTTTTTTTTTTATTAATCAATAATTATTATAAATTTTTTTAATAATAATAATAATAATAATAATCATTACTATTATTATTGTTATTATTATGAAATTAAAAACACGCATACATACATGATGTTGTTACTTTCACCTCTAGGCGATAAAAAAAATTTTTTTTAAAAAATAAATTAACGAATGCAAAAAACAAAATTTTTCGAAAAAAAAAATTATCTGATGTTCAATCATCATCATCACTGATATATATTGCACATGTAATACGAAATTTATTATTTTTATCTGTAAACATGAAATTTTTATCAAGTATTTTATTATTTCGTCAAGCTATATTATTACAACCATCACCAGCAGCAGCACCGCAACAATTATTGTTAACGAAAACAAATCTAAATTTAACAACATTGACAACATCGTTTAATATATTGAATAGATTATGGAGAAAAATTCAACAAAAAACTGGTTTTGCAGTTGGTCTGGTTGAAATATTTGGACCAATAGTATTGGCAGTTCCAAAGAAAAAAACCTCACATTCGAAAAAAAGAATGAGGTCAGCAAACAAAGGATTAAAAGATAAAGTCAATGTTATTCAATGTCCTGGTTGTGGTAGAAAAAATTTAATACATCATCTATGTTTTCATTGTTATTGTGATTTTAGAAAGAGAGAAAAAGGTCTCAGAAGTTTCAATTAGATCAATTTAATTAAAAAATTAGTCATGTGTGTGCAATAAAAAAAAAAAACCAATTTTTGTATAAATTCATTCACAAACTTTATTTTTTTTTTAAAAGAACCAAAAATGCTATATTTCTTATATTTCCAATACCAAACATAATCAATCATATGAAATACATTAGCTGTAAAAAAAAAAATTTGTTTATAATCATATAAACAATAGTAATAGTGCTAACAATAAAATAATAAATATACAAACGAATTTAATTTACCTTTTGTAATTCAGGTCTTACAGCATCAAATGTCGAACCTATTCCTTCATCGGATGATTCTGTATCGGTCCATTTTCCACGAGAATGATAACGAGCACGACTACATACTAAATGAGCATAATAAACTGGTGGAACCTACAAAAAAAAATTTTTTTATCATCATCATGGTTATTTATATAAAAAAAATAATTATATCACCATTGTAACAAACATACCAATGAAACTACACGTGTACATCTTGCGAACAAATAGCATAGATTATAAGATAGCGTTTGGATTCTATGTAATATATATATATATATATATATTAATCATTAAAGTAATTAATATTCATTGATTTATAAGATCACATTTTAAAACTCACTGATCAGCTCTAAGATCATTCTCATTATACAATACATGATAATGTGTAGGTCGAGATGTTCCTTGCAATCCTGGATGACTTTGCAAATCTATTTAAAAATGAAAATTAATCTTCAAGTGAAAATAAAAAAATAAAAAATATTAAAATTCAGTTTAACTTACAAAAATCAAATTCAATCGGATTGGTTATTTCATGCTCCACGACAGTTCCTGGAAGACAATTACCTGTATGGTCAGATTCTTTATTGGTTGTTGGGAAGAAGCGGGCATGGTGACGTTTCTGAACTACTATGAACGTAATCTTTGGTGCGTAGTTAATATCAAGAGCTTGACAAGCAGCTAATCATTATTATTGTATCAAATATATATAAGCACACATAAATATAATATTAACAGATTTCTAATATAATTAATTAATTTCAAAATTATTATAAGTGACAATGATGATGACGACAATGATGATGATGATGATGATGATGATGATGATGAACCTCTAACAGCGTTTACTTCTCCACTAAGAACACTAGCAAATTGACCTTCAGATACACCGTCCCGATAAAATAATATTCTTTCAGGTTTTCTTCCACAAGTTTGATAAAACAATTTTAACAATTCTTTTACCATGCTTGTCAAATCAGCAATAATTTCTTCCCTTCCATGTTGTACTCGGATGGAAGCAGCATATCTTGATGCCTTTGCATCCATTGATGCGCACAAAGCAGCTATTGATGGCTTATTCTGTGAGCCTGTTATTTGAGACTTTTTTTTTTAAAAAAAGCCACGGTGATGATGATGATAATAATAATAAATTTAAAAATAACGCAAATACCAGGAGGTGGATGTGTAACGTCTGCACCCATCAAAATTGTTGGTCGTTCAGATATGAATGGGATCTCTGCAGGGTTTAAGAAAGAATTCATTCCTCCAAGTTTAACATTAATTTTTAGACAAACGTTAGCACAATATTGTTTTTTTGGTGCCAGCATGTTTTTGCTTTGTATACACTGTGTAGCAACTCCGATTTCGGTATCACAAACACGTTTTATTTCAGCGTATAGACCAATTCCAGTATTTGGAAGCACACATAGAATTAATTGTGGTTGTGCTTTGGCTGCATTTCCAGCACGAAGCCATGCTTGTTTCAATATAGCCTCTATATCACCTTGGGCATTTGCATGTATTACTGGCGGAGTCCTATTTGGAATATTCTGATGTGTGTGAAAAATAAAATAAATATGAAATTAAAGTGATAAATTTTAAACTAGAAGGATGAAAGAAGGAGGAAAACTTATAAGGCCAATAAATAATAGTAAAGCAATCAATGTATGGGTAAAATGATATTATGATAATGTATATGTGTATATGTCAAAAGCATACCATTCCTGAGTCTTGACAAGTCGAGACAAATTCCCGATTAAACGATGCTATTGCTTGATCTGGAAGCTCGCGATCTGATCCAAATACAACGATGGACCAAGAACCTAATGTGGAACCGACAGCAACTTTTTTATCTTTTAAATTCCAGACACCTTCTTTGGGCCTAACATTAGGATCTTTAGATGAGGGATTAAATTGAAGTGTTGGGGTTGGTAATATTCGAGCAGGAACCTTAAAACAATCATGGTTATTTATAACTAATTTAAATAATTATATTTTCTATATTTATTTTATGACAATAGATATAAATAGACGGATAGTCAAAACATACCGCTCCCATCTCATTCGAGACTCTTATACCAAATTGTTGTAGATATTCATTATCGCGATAATTGAGTACATCGTATCCATTTTTTATTTTATTTGCTTTGATATTTGGTGATACACAAGTTAATCTAATCATGTCGGCATTTTGTTTATCATTTAATTTACGAGTGTATCTTTGACCCTAGTTCAGCATAATGGGAAAAATTTGATTATTATATAAAATTTTTTTCTATTTATTATAACATGAAAAATCAGAGTTAAATTTTTTTTAAAAAAAAAAAATATAATTACTTCTACAATTTCACAAACTTCTATTGGAAAAAATATATTCCTTTTGACGACAACACACGGAAGATGAGGATAATTTAGACGACGCCTATAGGTTGTAGCAAAATAAGAAGCAACATTAATTTGACCAGTTTCATTAACAAACATAGTATCACTTGCTGGGGTTAAAGTAATTCCTATTATTCTAAATGTTCTTCTGGCAGTAGCTTCACCCCGATGAATTACACGTATTTTAAGCCCTTTAAGAAATCTTTCAAGCTTATGATAATCTCTATCCATAACACCTCTTCTAAGATCATCTGGATCACGACGTCCCAGTATTTTAGCAACCGTTACTATTAGCGAGCCAGATTCATAAAATGCTGTTGCACTTAAATTAATGTTGACATACATCTGACCTAGTAATATAATATTTATTTATTATTTAAGTTGTAAAAAATAATAAGCGCATATATATATATATTTCTCTCGTAGTAATATGAATGATTTCTTATTTTATTTACCTTGACCTGGTCTAGCTGACTGATAATAACCTTGCCATGCCTCTAAACCTCCAAAAAGAGGACCAGCTTCTTTAGGTGTGTAAATCGATCGACCTACCGTGGAATAATTCATTGACGGTTGATGCCTGATAAGAACATCAAGGGCCATGATTGCTACAAAAATAACAAACAGAAGAATGTGATTTTATTTGTTTATTTTGAAAAATCATTATTTTTTATTTTATTATTATTACCTTTCAAAACATTGGATGTAAGTCTAGATCTTCTTCCAAGATAGCTATAAAGCTCATTGATGTTTATTTCACCGACTTTTTTTATACTGACTTTAAAAAGCCTAGGAAGACGTCTATTATTGGCGGCAGCAGCAGCACCAGTAGCATCATCGTCATGAATTGTTACCTTATTTGTAAAAAAAATTATTTTTAAAAATTAATGATTACAAAAAGAAAAATAAATGTTATAATTACATCAAAACTAGTAGTTTCACCAGGTGGTAAAGGCAAAAGCCTTGGAGCAAAGACATTTTTACGACCTTTTTTTAAAAGATATTAATAGAAAATTTCTTAAATGTATATATGTATGTATATATATGTGTGTGTGTGTGTATGTGTATGTGTAAGTAAATCGCAAATTTACCATCGAAAACTGGTCTTATTCCACACAAGATTCCTGTTCTATTTAATTCTACAAATTCTTTATATACTTTTCTATTTAAAGCAGGAGGTACGCTTGGTGTGATTGTGATGTCATAGTGTATAATATCTGCTTCAGGCAAAGAAGTTATTTTAAAAAAATTTGTATAGACTCTAATGGCTCGTCCTTCACTACCAAAATTTGGTCTTTCTACAAAATCAGTTAGTCCTGTTGTCATTATGTAAAATTTTACTTGATTTTTATTTTTTTTTTTTTGGTTTTTTATTTTTTTTTTCTTTATTTTTATTAAAGCAGATTTAATAAATTTATAATGAGATAATCGATAATCATAACAACGTTTTATAACACGTGAGCGATATAATTTATAGAAATTTAAGGGGTCCCCAGAACTAAATACAAAAAAAGTAAGCTCTTTGGATTTTCTTTTTTGATGAAATTTGGGCAAAACGTCAACTTTTTGATAATTCTAGTTTGTCACCAAGTTCTATTAGTCAGCATACAAAAATACATTTTATCGATCTTTGGATTTTGATACTTTTTTAGCTTCTCACGATTTCGAAGCAATAGCCACCGCATACACTCGCTCAAATCTGATTTCCTTTAAAGAAAGTTGGGATGAGACAAAGTCGTCCAAGTTTGCTTTATTTTTAAATGTCAATAATTTCTTTTGAGTTCAAAACAACCGAATAGTTTTAACTTGGGACTTATTGCTCGTATCGATTTTTCAGTGGGAGAGAGCGAAAGAAACTGGCAAGATTTTTTTTTTTTAATTTGTTAATGTCAGGTTCTTTGAATTCCATAATAATTGAGCGAGTGCAATATTCTTTAATTGCAGATTATTAGTTCATTTCTACCAAGAACAGACAACGTCGTGAATCATCGAGTAACATCTTTCTCCTCCTTGGAGTCGTTCCTATACTTTTTGCAATTGTTGCAAATATTCACCGTAGATAGTTGAACTTTTCAGATTGACAAAAACTGAGGTTATTTATTATATCTCTAGTTAATGTTTTAATATTTCATTTACTATGTACAGAGTCATTGTGATGTCGCCTCATTTGTTGTCTTCAAACAGAAATTCATTTTATAAATCAACTTTTGTGGAGTTTTGGTCAATAACTTTTCATGATATGTCCTCCGCCTGATAAGAAAAGACTAATTTTGGTGACAATACACTTGTTATATACATAAAAACAGCACATATATATATACACATGATAATTATATATATATATAAAGGTTTCAAAGCTATGCAGATTTCCGATTTTTACATTTATAAAGAAAATAAATAAATATAACTTTGGAATTGTTTTTTATTATTAAAATTGAAATTGATTATTGCAAAGCACCGATTAACCAAGTTCATTTATCAAACTTGTTTGGGAAATTGCATTGTGATCAGATTTTTTATCCTTGTTATCTATCTATCATCAATCACTTTGATAAGATTTAAATTAAACCGGGCGGGGACTAACCCGCACGGAATTTATTTTACTCGAAAAATTGTAAGGAAAATAAATTTAAATTTAAAAATAAAATAAATAAATATATTGGTTATCCTGATTTTTTTATATCATGTAAATAAATAAGCATTGTGATTTTTTTGCTTACGTATAATAAATATATTTTTAATAAATAAACAAACGCGATTTGATTACCAGATTACCAATTAAATATTATTAATTTAATATTACTAATTATTTATAGGAAACACGATTTTCTTGGGTCATTGTGCGAAGTTTTTAAAAGTTTGTTTAAAATATAAATAAAGAAATCCATTGATTAAAGAATATTCTTTTTTTTTTCCGTCTTCACCAAATAACAGATGCCTAGAGATTCGTTCCCTTACCAAGAATATAGCTGCGGGACTTTATTTCCGCCACTTTTCGGCAGAATTATTCCCGAATTTCCCGAAGGACTTCCATGTACTAATTTAGCAACAAAAGGTTTATAAATTAACAGATCGCTGTAATCATTATCCCATTAGCATAGTACGTCACACTTTATTATGCCAGAAGTTTCTAATTTGCTTATTAATTTAAATTGACTAACAAATTTAAAAATATAAATAGAGCAGTTTTCGATCAAATGTAAAAAAAAAAAAAACAAATTTTTTTAAAAAACAAAATTTTAAAAATACATCGAAATAATAATAATAATAATAATGCAACCAACAAACACTTCAAATAATTCTTCGTCAGATATTGTTAGTAGTAATCATTTACTTATTAATAATCCAGTACATCCAATAATCAAGCTTCCGTTTCCACCAAAGATTGATCCTCTAGATCTTATTCCAGTTAAGCCTTCGTCACCACAAGCAACACAAACTAATTTTAAGCCAACAAGGTCACCGAACGCCTTTATTATTTATCGTAAAGCTTTCGTTAAAGCTGCACGTGAGGAGGGCCAATGTTTACCAATGACAGTGATATCATCGATGGCATCATCTTCATGGGAGCAAGAGCCAGATGAGGTCAAAGCAGAATATAAAAGAATAGCAAAAGCTGCTTATTTAAAAAGAAAGGAGTTGTATCCTAAAGAAAGAAAAAGAAGAAGAAAAGAAAGATGGAACATCGTTTCATTTAATGCACCAACTAATAATAATAATACTATTAACGATAATAATAATACTATTAACGATAATAATAATACTATTAACGATAATAATACTACTACTACTAACGATAATAATAATACTATCAACGATAATAACGATATTATCATTAGTGATAATACTTTAATTTCACCGCCACCGCTATCTTCTACTACTTCTTCAGTATTTTCTTCTCCGATTGCACCAAACTCTTCAGAATCTTTAGAATATAGTCCACAAATTGATTCAAATAGTAATGATCCAAATTATATGAATAGTTTTATAAGTACTCCATACGGAAGTAATAGTTATGATCCGTTATTATTAACACCGGAATTTTCAGAACCTTCAAATTTTGAAAATATAAATTTTAATAATTTTAATCAACCCGAAATATTTAACCTGAGCGAATGGTTAGGATACGATGGACAAATACAAAAACAAACAGCAGACAACGGCATCAATAATGAAATTTATAAGAACATTTATTATGGTTATAATAATAACAATCTTTATTTTTAATCATTTTTATTTTTTATTAATTATTTTATTTTTTTTCAAATTACTTTTTACTATTTTAAATTATTTTTATTATATATGATGTAAATATTTTTAAATATTTTTTTAAATTTATGTAAGTAAAAATATATCTATATACAATATACAATATGGTTTTTTTTTAATACAGGAGAAAAAAAAATCCCTCGATTTAAAATATCAATAAACATTTTTCTAGAAATAAAAATTATACGTCATCAGTTTTTTTTTTTACAATTATCATGATCATGATTTGTTTGTTTATATTAATTATTATATTAATATTTATTATTGTATTCAAACTAATTCCGCCCGCCCTCTGGCTTATCTAATCCCGATCCCGAATGTCGTCCAAAAATAGTGATAATGAGGGGAAGGGAGGAATAATCCTTCCGCAAGGCTTTTTTAAGCAATTAATATATTATTAATTAATATATTTATTATTAATTAATATTATTATTATTAAATATTTATGATTCGGCCGAAGTGTATGTTACACGTATCAATATTTTTTAGATTAACCTGTTTGATACGCATCGGTTGAAATTATTAAACACTTGGATTTTTTCTTCGTATGCACCAGATTTAACAAATGCATCAATCGAGAGAGTCTTTTCGTCTAGGGAGTATTTTTGGGGGGTTTTTTATTATCCTAAAAAGTAAATCAACACAAATGTGATGAATATCATTTAATATTAATTCCATTTAGCATAATTCGATTCATCCCATAGATTACATCATCACTATTTTAATATTCTCCCCCGAACCATTATTAATATCTATCTATCTTCTAGTCGTTGAAATTCACATTCATTTGGCTCATAGTGAATACATTATAAATAATAACGGTTGACTAACCTATTATATATTTTATATTACCTTTACATATTAATATATGGGAGATTTTTCAACGTGAAAAAACCAATTTGAGTTAATGCTACCCACTCTTCACTTGGAATATTTTTGATACCTGGATAGTATTATGTTTTGGACAGATTGTTATTTTGAAAGCGGGTTTTTTCCTGTAAATTTTGTGCGTCAATACAATTACAACTATGAATTATTTTTTTTTCATTATTCTGAAAAACTCCTTTTTTTTTAATATTATATTGATAGAAATAGAAATGTAGAGAAAACAGAAAAAATGAATAAATAAAAAATATTTTTTAATTTTGATCTAAATTAAATTCAGCTAAATCGTGATCAAATTTTTTTTAAACATAAGCAAGCTCTGGCGGTTTCAGATCGAATGATATGTCTAACCCAAAGAAAATAACTGCTCACTTGTATAGTTGATGTGTAATATATGTATATTCTTTGTAAACCTTGCAACCGAGCAAAGGATATACGTAACACCGGTTGCTTGGATGGCTTAAAACTGGTGTGATAAGTCCAAGATTAAATAGGAATATTCTTATTTTTCTTGAAAGTGCTCAACACCGTAAAGTGGAAGCAGATACTTATTATGGGTATGTACGGACACTTTTTATTTCCTTAAATGGAAAGATCATCTTAAAAATAAAAATATTCGGAGAACTTTGGCCATTTTAAGGGTGTAGCCTCTGATATGATTGATTGAGGCCCTATTTCAAAATAGCTCGTTACCGAGGGATAGTTAATTCAATGACAAAAGTTGATAAGTTTAAATGCAACAATGCTGTTGATTGTATTTTGTACAATAGAACTTTTCTTTAATGAAACCCATTGATCCAAATGATTGTTGTTATCATCACTTGTCAATTGCATATTATTGAGCAGCATTCCTATAAATTTTCTTTAGTTTTCGTGTGATACGGAAACATGATTTCCGCCTTAAAAATATATATAATAATAATAATAATAAACATAAACATAGATATCAGGTCATATTTTATTATTGATCTATTACTATGATCATGTAAGTATATGGTCATAGGATTTGGTCATAGGTTTGTCATAAATTTATTGATTCAATAAATTCACAATTGGACAAATACATCTTTTTTTATATTGTCTTCTTTTACACTTTCAGAAATTCAATACTAAAAAAATTCAATCTTTCGCTTTTTTGAATATTAAAAAGTTTTTTTCTTGAGGAAAACCTT